TTTGTTTTTTACATTTTACATAAGACTTTTTTTCTTCCCAAATCTTCAAATTCAACTCTTGGGAGATTCTAAAACATTCAAGATGGTGGCTTTGATTGCATTTTCTTTTTTGACCACATCTGCAGGCTCTTTTGTTTGATTTAAAACGCAGGAAGAAAAAGGGAAAGAGTTCAGGAAACTGCCTTTCATAGAGAATAATTTCATTTAAATCTTTGTTTTAAAAAGCGAAACAAACAGCATGCCAACAATGTGGCTGAGAAATTTACATTATTCTTTCGCTCGGAAAAAAATAAATAGGTGAGCCAGCCTCACCTCTGTTTGTGCATAAGAACAAGATACAGAATTATGAAAATCTCTTTTGCAATCTGTTTGGGGATCTCTTTGGAATAGATTTTAGCAGCACAAGCTTAAACCTATTTATGAAACTTGGGTTGCGAAACAGAACAGGATTTGTTTTTCTCAAATCAAAATTCTGTCCCCAAAGACATTTATTGATGGGTCTAAATGGTTTCCTGTTTCTGAAAATTGGGCTCGATTGGAGATTTATACAACCGAGAAGATGCAAGAAACTTTTTTGGACTTTTGACTAATTGCTGTGTTTATTCGGAGGAGCTGTGTTTAAAAAAAGTTTTGACAGTTAGGAAAAGTCCAGAAGAAAAATGGATGTTTTTTTAAAAAATGGAATTATAAAACAATAACAGAGAAAAAAATCCAAATATTTTCAGAGAGGCTGGAACAATACGCTTCCAAGTTAAGGTTTGAAACCTCCAATCTTTTCAGTTTCAAAATACAGGAAGTCCTCAACTTACAATTCTTCATTTAGTGACCGTTCAAAATTACAACGGCACTGAAAAAAGTCACTTACACAGATGGTCCTCCAGTTACAGCAGTTCATTTAGTGACCGTTTGAAGTTGCAATGACACTGAAAAAAAAATGATTGTTTTTCACACTTAATGACCGTTGCAGCGTCCTTAGGGTCAACATTTCACAGGTTTGGTAGTGATTCATATTTAAGACGGCTGCAATGTCTCCTTTTGCGACGTGCTGACAAACGAAGCCCCGTGGGGAAGCCAGATTTACATAACAACTGTGGGGCTAAGGTTAACAATGGCAACGATTTGCTTAAAAACAGTGGCAAGGAAGCTGGGGGAGAAATGGGGCAAAGCTCCCTGAACAACTGTCTCACTTTGCAACTGAAATTTGGGGCTTGATTTGGGTCGTAAGTCAACGAATCCCTGTAGCTGCATTGCGTGGTGCTCTTTTTTCCCCTTCCTCTATGCATCCCATCCATCAGGTGGAGCAGGGGTAGGGTGCATGGGTCTGATTGTGTGCTTGTTTGGGTGTGCCGAGGAAACAAAATCTTTTTCATGTTGCATTAGCACGCACTGTGTGTGTGTGTGTGCATGTGTGTGTACACAATGCCTCCCCTGAGAATCGCATTTCAACATTTGGGGTCTGTCTGTTTTTCAACCGCTGTGTTTATCATGTTGATTTTAGTGTTGTGTTTATGGGTGTTCTAAGGAAAGGTGGTTTTTGTTTTTGTTTTAAAATTTGGTTTCCGCAAACCTTAATTGCTGGTTCAAACGTTGGCTGTCATGGGTTTGACCTTTTTTAATGTATTCTTTGTGGCTTGTACGGACGCCCAGCCGGCCAATTATTGGGTGGCTTTAAAAAGCTTTTCCAGAAGTAAGATTGGAGTAGGAAATGCTGTGACTTCTTTTTATTGTGCAATATTTTCTAAAGACGGAGTGAAGAATGAAACATCGCAGCTGGGGTGCCTGTTTTTCATTGTTGTGATTGCTAGAGGGTCAAGTAAGCGCGCCAGGAGACTGCGAGTTCTAGTCCTGCATTAGGCACCGAAGCTGGCTGGGTGACGTTAGGACAGTCCACAAGAGACAGGGAGTTCTAGTCCCGCTTTAGGTATGAAAGGTGGCTGGATGACTTTGAGCCATCACAAGGAGACTTTGAGTTCTAGTTCTGCTTAGGCAGGAAAGCCAACTGAGTGACTTTGAGCCAGTCATTAGGAGATAGTGAGTTCTAATCCCACTTTGGGTATGAAAGCTATGGGCCAATCAGCAGGACACTGTGAATTCTAGTCCCGCCTTAGGCATGAAAGTTGGCTAGATGACTTTGGGCCAATCATCAGGAGACGGTGAGTTCTAGTTCTTTAGAAATGAAAGACAACTGGATGACTTTACACATCTTAATATATTAATTCTGAAGGTTTTAAAAGTTAAAGTGCAACTGAAACCAGAGACTTTAACTTTTGGGTTTTAGGGCAAGCAACTGGAAAAAAAACAGCCATGGGATTTTGCTTTTATGTACCATAATTGCATTGGGATTAAATTTGAAACTTTGAACAGTTGTTAAATGACCAATTACATGGATTTTCTTTGGTAGATTCAGTAGGGGATCGTACCTCAAATCCATGACCAAAAGGATAATTAATCCAAAGCATTTTCCCCCAACTAGATATCTTGGACTACAAGTCCAATCATGCTTCAGCAAAGTCTGCAGGGCAAGGATGTGCAAGGATGTTAGCAATGTTTTTCCCCCAATCTTCTCTGCAAATGCAGGTAATCCTCGACATACAACGCTTCATTTGCCACAACGGTCATAAGTGTGAAAAATAATCCTACATCACTTTTTTTCAGTTCTAACTTTGAACAGTCACTAAACAGATTATTGCAAGTAAAGGACTACCTGCAGTGTTGCATGATAATTTTTAACTGATCCCATTAAGAAGCTTTTAAGATGTTCAAAGAAGTTGGATTATCTTTCCCATCACCCCAGTAAACGTGCAGTGGATGACCTTGCAGTGAAAAATGAGAATTCAGGGTGAAAAGGTAAAAGGAACAGAGACCAAAAACTCAAATACAGTCTTTAAAAGTATACACGTTCCTTTCAGTTCAGTCGAAAAACTATAAATAGCTCGGAGGAACACAACTAAAATAGACGCTAAAAACTTACAAGGAAAGGACTGGTTTAATCTGACTTCTATTCTATTATTATAGTCCTCAATTTATAACATTTGAAGAGAAGGACCAGGGGAGACAGGATAGCAGTCTTCCAATATTTGAGGGGCTGCCACAGGGAGGAAGGGAACAAGCTATTTTCTAAAACCATCTGAAGGCCAGACAAGGAATAATGGATGGAAACTGAACAAGGAGAGATTCAACCTGGAAATAAGGAGAAATTTTCTGACAGGGAGAACCATGGAACAGAAGTTGCCTTTGGAAGTTGTGGAAGCGCCATCACTGGAGGCTTTCAAGAAGAGACTTGACTACCCTCTGTCAGAAATGGTGTAGGGTCTCCCGCTTGGGCGGGGGGTTGGACTAGATGACCTACAAGGTCCCTTCCAACACTGATCATCTGTGTTAAAATTCTATTTCGTTTAGAGACCTTTGAAGTTAGAACGGCACTAAAAAAAACTGACTTAATGACCATTTTTCACACTTACGACCATTGAAGCAACCCCGTAGTCACGTGAACAAAATTCAGGCACTTGGCAAATCGCTCGTATTTATGACTGTCTCAGTGTCCCGGAGTTATGTGATCAACTTTTAAGACCTTCTGACAAGCAAAGTCAATGAGAAAGCCAGATTAACAACCGTGTGACTAACTTAACAACTGCAGTGATCCATTTAACAACGGTGACAAGAAAGGTCAGCAAGTGACTCACTAAAAAGCCCACAAAAATGCTGGCCTCAGTTGTGGTTATAAATTGAGGACTACTTGTAGAAATTCCCCTAGCACTGGGAGACTGGGAGAAAAAATATACAGGCCCTAATAAAGTTTTTTACTGATAAATGCTGTGAGGAATATTAGAATAACAGATTTAAACATAAATAAAAGGCTAAACACATGGAGAATGTTTGCTGGAATTGGGTATGTCTAGCCTTAATGAAAAGGACTAGGAGAGACAAAATAGCAGCCTTCCAATATTTGAGAGGCTGCCACAAAGAAGGGGGGGGGGGTGTCAACGTATTTTCCAAAGCCCCTGAAAAGGCAGGACAAGAAGCAACGGATGGAAAGTAATCAAGGAGAGAAGCAACCTAGAACTAAGGAGGAATGTCCTGACAGTGAGGACAATTAACCAGTGGAACAGCTTGCCACCAGAAATCATGTATGCTCCAACACTGGAGGCTTTTAAGAAGAGATTAGACAATCATTTTTCCGAAATGGTATAAGGTTCCTAATTGAGCAAGGGGCTGGACTAGTAGAAGACCTCTAAGGAGGTCACTTCCAATTCTGTTGTCCTTTTAAACTCAGGTTATTCTGTTATATAAATTTAAAAATACAGCTCGGATTTTTGCAATCCCACCAGAATTCAGATATTCTCGCATGGATGATTCTCATAACAGGAAGGGAGGCAGGCAGGAAAAGGGAGGGAGGGAAGGAAGGAAGGGAGGGAGGAAGGAAGGAAGGAAGGAAGGAAGGAAGGAAGGAAGGAAGGAAGGAAGGAAGGAAGGAAGGAAGGAAGGCGAATGGGAATGATGAAGGAAGGAAGGAAAAAGAAAGGAAGGAAGGAAGGAAGGAAGGAAG